CCGGAAGAAACAGATGTATCCATTTATATGAGAAATAAAGACTATCTATTATGTTATTATTGACTACAACAGGTTTTGTTTCATTTGTTTTGGATCTAAACTAATACGGCGATCAATAATGGAGAACCCATCACTGTGTACACAAATGGTGACGTCGCCATTTTTCGACGGTCACGTAATACACAAGAAATAAGGTAAAGGATTGTATGGAAGCGTAACAATTTTTACTCACTTTAATTCGGAAAATCCCACAAATAGTTCCAAACTATGTTTCCATGAACTCAGTTACACTGAAGATGATAACAGCAGTAAATCCAGTCAAGTAGGTAAATGATCACTACTCTTTCTCAACTCCAGGCAGACAATGCGGATAGAAGAAAACAGCATATCTCCTAACACTTGCAACGGATGTGCAGAACTTCAGTGCACCCAGTGTCTATATGTCACACACTCAGCCCATTTAACAAAATGTCAAACTTGCACAAACCACATGGTGTGAATTTGCCATACTTTTCATCTTCAGTGTCAGTCGACTGTTCAGTGTCAGTTTCGTCCGATGAGGGAATATTGTGTACGATGATTTCCCCTAAACTTTTGTTAACTTTGCTCTTACCTTTTCTGTTTTTGTTGCTGTCTGTCCAATCTGTCATTTTGTCTTGTTTTGTCTGAACACTGTCCCTAGTTGCCTTGGTTGATTTCTTTTTATTTTGTTCTTCATGATGTTTTATGAGGTTACTTGTCACATCGTCATCAGTGATTGGTTTACCGCCGACAATTTTGCTGACAGTTTTTTCTGACTTTTGCTGTTTCCATGTTAGCAAGTATCTCGCCACCCCCTCTTGCCTAGGAAATCATGTGCATCTGTCATGTCTGATGAAACCTCGGTGACTTTAATAGGCTTGAATGCGAGTGAAGGGGCGACTGCTTCGTCTGTCACAACATCCGGATCGAATGGGAAGATTCCAGAACGCTGGAAAGATGATATGATGTTGTGATGTGTCAACGTAGAAGCCAGTAACTTGCAAGCAATCTGACAAAAATCGTATCTTGTAATGGCCTTTCAAATATCCCAGACATAACAGCTTGAGGTTTGAAATTAGAGGATGATACAACTTTGGGTGGTGTGATATCTGTCTGTAACCCCTTCTCATCAATGTTGAATATATATCCTGGGGACGGTCTTGGAGGCTGCATCTTGTCATAATTTTCTCAAGTCCTGAAAAATAACTATCAACAGATTGCTGAGTGGCAAATCTGGCTCTAGTGTATTCCAGCTTTCTTGGCTTCTGTACACGAATCTCAGGCCAACGTGATGGGAAGCTATAGAGCCATTGCAAACTCAGAGGTGTAGCTCTGTTTCTGTCACCAAGGTGGTGAGCGTATTCTCTTGCCAAGTTAGGCCTCAAAAAAAAATTAAATATTGTGGTTCCGATTACCCGACCGACCCTTGAATTTTGGTGCCGACCCTATTTTTTAAAGCGGTATGAATAAAAAAAGCTTCCCAATACCATTGTTTTTCCCGGCACCGACAGACATTGGTCATTCTGATTGAGAAACTTGACATGATGGCTGCAAGCCTGATTAAATAAACAATTACACATTGATAAATGTGTTATTAGTTTGTACTTTACGTCTAAATAAAATATGAAAAAAAAAAATCCAAACTACCTACCCTAAATTTTAAAGACGTGTAATCGGAACCACAGCATTTTCTTTGTTTGGCCTTAATGGTTTCCTGACGAGTGTAGCCATGGGATACTAGCAAAGACTCTTCCTCTTGTGAAAATTTGGTGGAATTTCCAGATTTTACTGTGTCAATGTGTACTCTTTCAAAGTTGTGATGGGAACACCCCAGTGAGTTTTCCTCAAGTACAGATAAGTAAGCATTCTGTAAGCAGTGTAGGAAAGATAGCCCGTCCCAACGTCCGAGACGGGTGAATTTTGTGGAGGACGGGTTAAAAAAAAATCTGGTCTGTCCTCGTGTCGGGTCAGTTTTAGCAAACCAATGACATAATCATTATTATATTATAACCTTTTAGAATATTTACTGCCAAAGGATACTAGAATAATCAGATGATTCCACTAGGAGAGATTTAACAGTCCAAGCTCTGTGTGTGCATTTTAAATTATAGCTTAAAATAAAACAAACCAGTTTTAAGTCTTGAAATGGTGTTTTATTTATATTTGGAGGACAGGCTAGATTTTGGCAGGACTGGTAAAAAAATTGATTTTCTACATCTTTCCTACACTGCTGTAAGACATCCTGCTCTGTATGACTCTCTAGCTGATGTAATTTGATGAAAATGTGAAATAAGTAACTTTTTTTTATAATGTCATATTTAGCCCTCTTAAGACTTAGAAAGAAAATTACATTGTCTCTTTTAACCAATGTCGTAACTGTTGCTGTAGGGGGATGACCCTTTTCATCTTCCATACTTTTTTTTCTTAGCAGCAAGTGACATCATCAGAAAGTGTTTTGCTATTTTTGGAACTACACAAGTTAAGCAGACAACTTGTTTTGGTACCGATATGTGAAAAATGAAGCATTTAATTTTTACATTAGAAGTTAGATATTTTTGCACATAAGTGATCTTGGAAAAAAATCCTATTTGGTAAGTAATTTTTGTTGTAAATACCTTAGGGATTTCCATATTTCAAGTCAGTTGTTGTGAGAGCTGCAGTGGTCCGATGTTGATGTTTACAAGTTATACAACTCAGGTGACCACGGACCTCGCTCGTGCTCTCGTACAATATCGCGATAAACACGACCGACGAAAATAGGAGAATGTCAAAAAATGTAGACGGCAGGGAACATTATTACATTACTGTAACATTTTGTAAGTCTGGCCGGATGCTGACACGTTTCTGGACACATCTTCCAGCCTTTTAAAATGTATTAAATTGTGCCTAATGTTTTAATTGCTTGTTATGTTTAATTTGAAGTAGGAGTTAAATGTGAAGAAAAAAGACTTTGCTTCAAAAAAGGGATCACTCAAAATTTACAATTTTGTAGACTTATAGTGTGATTGTGCTCTTACCGGAGACCATATATAACATATTAGGAAGGCATTTCCTATTCTCACGGTACTTACGGATATCGGCTGAAAAATAACACAAACAGTTGTTATCGTATGAATGCTTGTTGTTTTTCAGGGCCTTCTCCTCTAACATCTACATCTATCAGCTGCTAGATCCATCAGGTGAAGTACCACTCGTGAGCCCGGTGATAAACAATGCCATCCGCCATTGTCGAAACGAGGCTTCTCCCATTCTCGCGGTATTACCAGGAATTAACTTTATTGAGTGTATGTAAGAGCAATCGTGCCGGAAAGGGCGGGAAAAAGTAATGACATGTCCAAGTTGGTATCAACTCCCCAATATTCGTGACACTGCAAGATTTTGATCACCTACAGGCTTGGTCCACTTCCTAGTTAATCATTAATCTTTTAAATGATTCCTAGTGTTTGTCTTACCTTGTTAGCGTGTTATATGTGTGTGATTTATTTTATGAAAATAATTTAATCATTTTATCAATGTTTGAGCTCTGTATTTTACACAAGAATTCCCTCAAGGGTAATAAAGTATTGTCATTGTCATCATAGTTACCAGTCGGTGATGTAAACAACCGGTAAGTGTCGCGCATTGGCGATTTGGCAGAAAACGTGTTTACCACAAGAATAGGAAACCCGCGAGAATAGGAGACAGACCTATATATATGGTCTCTGCTCTCATAAAAAGCATATAAATATTGCTACACGCATAAAAGATGATTCTCATGTAACAGGGATAAATCCAGGGATTGTATATTGTGTACATACATTTATGATTAATCATTTCCATTTTTATTCTTATTTCAGGTGATCCGACAGACGACTTCTCTATACATTATAGATATATTATATGTTGTCAATCCAGTCGCATCTTGTCTTGGCCTTAACTGTTCAGTTCTGTGTTACACGGCTGGTTCACTGTGTATTTAAGGGTATCTGAGTCGATCTACTTTTATGTCATTGTCTTTAGTTGTTTTAACAATAGCCCAGGCTCATCTTCTCAGATGATTGGTTTAATTTCAAATATACTTCTCACCGCCATGTTGCTAATCAGTTTTGCACCACACTGTCTCTACATAAGGACTGTTTTGAAGATTGAGTTTTGATCTAAGGTTAGTAATTATACTGTTTGTAATATATACATAGCTAATTAAACCCTAATATAAATAATTGTATAACATAGGCACAAATATGTTCCAGATAAATCAAATGTAAATATTTACACAGTATGCTATTTTACTTGTATGAATGTGCGTATGGTTGGTTTTGCTAGATGTTTATGTTGGCTTGTAGTTCTTGTTTTACAAATGCTGTATATGATGTAAGATTGATCTATTTCATCAATTCTGTATCTTGTTCGTAACTCCATAGTGGTAGTTTCAAGTATGTATATATGTTGGTATAATGGTATTATTTTATGTGTTGTCTCATGGACAAAACCTCTCATCAGTGTATCCTATTCTATGTAGGATTATTGCACGTGTTGGCTGCCCGGCTGCTGGGTGCTTGAGCACACTCCCGTGTTACCCACAGGGTAGGTTTCATTGTCTGTTTTTATAGTCTGTTTCACGATATGCCACATAAAATGTCACTTATAATAGTAACAATAGTATATGCCATTTTTCATTACCTGTGTGAGATTATTTAAGACAGGTGCATCGTTTACTTAAGTCTTTGTTATTCCGATGTGTATATATGAAGACATGCATTTATGAGATATTTATACCTACATATATATAAAGGCATATGTTCATCGAATGTGGTTTTAGTATATACATATACATTGTATAATTATGATTGTTACAGAGTGTCTACTTCTCCTTCTTCCACTACGGAATAAAAGATATTGACTTCACAAACCCATAGCCTGTGGTTATTACAGAGCACCACTATTTCATGGCTGCAACACTCAAGATATCATTCACTGAACATGGGGTAAAGTGTACTCACCCAGTGTATTGCTGAGCAAAACTGACATGAGTGACAAGTAACACAAGACATCTTCCATTTCCAAGTATGTAAGTCTTGTGCGCAACAGTTCTTCCAAAATCCTACTTCTGACAGCAGCTGCTGTCTACACGCTAACTGGTCTGGGAACAGTAGTCGAGTTACAATATCTGTGACCAACACAGTGTATGTCCAGGACAGGTTTTGAGCGTGACGGAGAGGAACGAGCAGTGACGAATGTCAAGGAATGCGTCTGCAGTTGACATCAGACCTGTATTCAGTCAAAACGGACTTGCTACGAAACCGAAAAAGAGCGGTCGCATTAAAGCTACTAAGCCGCAGGTAGTTATCCCAGTTCTGTCGTATCCCAGTGTAGCGACCTGGGTGCCGTTCCACTAACCGAGGTAAGATCACCAACTAATTTTAGGCAGATCGTAGCCGGTCCCGATCTTACGATCCGATTCAAGCTTAGATCGTGAGATAGAGAAATGCGAGGCACGAGTTATCTCCCTTTGCATAGTCTAGCCGATGATGGAAGCACATTCCGGCGCAGTGATGACTTAGCAAACTGGCTGGCCGCATGGACAAGTGATGATGGAAGTAGTTTTGAAACAAACTGAGTGAGTGAGTGAGTTTAGGGTTAGGCACCCTTTACGATCCTTAGGGTTAGGGAACCCCAGCAACGCTAATTAATCTGAAACAGTGCGCCCTCGCTGCTCCCTTTACGATCCTTAGGGTTAGGGTTTAGGGCTAGGGTATGGCACCCTTTACGATCCTTAGGTTTAGGGTTAGGGTATGCCACCCTTTACGATCCTTAGGGTTAGGCACCCTTTACGATCCTTAGGGTTAGGGAACCCCAGCAACGCTAATTAATCTGAAACAGTGCGCCCGGTAAAGTGCAGTACTCCCCATAAAGTTCACTAACATGAACAGCGCCCATGTTAGTGAACGCTACATCCGTTTGAGACAAAATGATACCGATTGTCACATTACGTGATTTAATTTCGTTTCGTTTAGATCACGGTAATACTATTTGTCAGGGAGACTATATATGTTGTAGAGTACGTATTTGTGAACTGGGAGTTGTCTCCCTTGGTAAACAGTGCGCCAAGACATGGCGAATGTAACTTGATCTTAAAGATTTAATTTTTAAGTTTAATGGACATTCACGTCATCTTTTCGACCAAGGACCAAGCATAACATGGTGTCAGAACAAGCGAAACCACACGCATACGTTAGGACTAGACGATAACCTACTTTCAGGACAATATAAAGTGGGGAGACAGTGATTTCGTAGGCTGAACCATTTCGTAGACGCGGTGGATTCGTAGCACAGACTGTTTCGTAGACGGTGATTTCGTAGACGTGTATTAATAATTGAATAATAGTATTTTCTAAAGATATTAAGTTTGATGTTTCACTTAGATTGTGTATTACGAAGTTGTTATGCTTTGTTTTCAGTTTTCAGTGATACGAAACTAAGGGCAGCTAAGTGTGATTGAAGACTGAACGAATATTGTCCCGTATCTTGTCTAGACTTGTTTATTTGTATACATGTATTTGTATTTGTGTATGTAGGGTTTGTGTTGTATTTTTTGTTTTCAGTGATACGAAAATATTGTTACTGTGTGACTTTGTGTGTAATAAAAATGAAGCGTCGTAAAATGTAAAAAGACAGACAACATTGTTATGGAAGAGAGATAATGTAGTATATTTATGAACAGCAACAATAGGTAACAACAGCCCGTTTCACAGTCAATTCACTCAGTGACCATTGGTCCATTCAATTTAGACACTTCCCTCAGCAGCTGGGACACGGTAAGATTTGTGGCTTGGAATTCGTCCCATAATCTGAAAAACTTATCGGACTTGGCCCGCTGGCCAGCATATGTTGCCTTCTGTCCAGCTGACCGTCTGTGACCAGTCAAATTTGTAAAGGCAGCAGGTCAGCTTCTCTGAAGAGGAGGGGAAGCAATCTGTAGAAAGGTAGGTGACGTCGCCCGGATAGCTGATTCAAGCGTTTGTGCCAGCTTTCCAGGTCGTTGTTCGCCCGGATGGCCGTCCCCAAAACGCTCCAATTAGCCACAGTCCACACGGTGCTTCGGATCCACGTTGCTTCGTAATAATCACAGAGGGTGACCAGATCCGGCGTCACTGCCTGCTGTTTCACCTTAATGAAGGCTGGCCTGATATGTGCTGCGTCCAACAATTGCAAACCCATCAGCTTCTTGGCGAATCTAGAAAACAAATTATATAAAATGTGAGGTATAATCATTATACTAATAAAATGCAGATAATTTTTCAAACAGTGTAAACAGAAGAAAATAATGAAATATGCAACAGTGTGTTCCCACGTCCTCTTCATAAGCCGTAGCCAGACCCAAGTTCTTCACCTTCCTATAAATCGCCTGATTCATGTGGAAAGTGCAGCCCTTGATCTGGACGGCCGGAAAGACTCTCTGAAACCCTCTCCAGGTCGCCGCTTCAAAGTCTGTCACCATTTTTTCAACAGCTTTGACGTCCATGACGTCGTTGACCGCGTTGAAGACCTGTTAAATAGATAATTACATTATTAATTGATGACAATGAACAAACTATACAGCAAGTACAGTAATTAGATTAGCTACTTACGGCCACGTAGTCCTCCGTCTGGCGCAGCGACAATCAATGTATACAAAAGAGGAACTTGCTTCACTGACCACCCAGAGACGAGGAATGCATGGATGGAAAGCAGCTGATAAAAAGGGGGTGACACAAGTCGGAAGGTAGAGTCTATATGCCATGTCTTGGCCGTCTTCAAAGTCTTCAATTGGTGGTCGCTAGCAAAAACGAGTTGGCGCTGTCCTCCGCCTGTCTTGATATCGGCTCTCAGGAAGTCACTTGGTAGGAAGCGGGAGCAAATCTAAAAAAGAAAAACATTTGTGAAAATGTTAAATTTATTTAACATTATTTCAAATATACTGAATACTGAAAGCGAACACCATACATACCTCAAAATTCAAGTCTTTGGGTTCGCTAGGACGATCACCCTGGGGATAATTAATATTCCGGGCTGCTTGGCTCAGAGGTGGCAGGGAGGGGCATGGGTAGCTGGGTTGACTCTCTGCTCTGTAGATTTCCTCGGCCATCACGCCAGACGACTTGTAGTAATCACCGGACTTGGCGACATCCCTGATCTAAAGAAATGAACACTTTTTTAATTTCAAATTGTTGCTATAGTTGCTACAGATTTTATAATAATATTACATAATATTTATACGTTACATATATTGATACGTTATAAATAAACGACAAAATACCTTCATGTTGATGGCGGCCTTGGTCAGAAGTCCTGTCGTCGGCTCACGGTTATGGTCGGCTGCTCCGCGGATTAAATCTTCCCCTCTCTGTGAAACCGTCGCAGTGCACCGACCCTCCTTTGGCCGCACAGAGCACCACCAGTACACTGCATACGATCTGGACTTCTGTTAAAGAAAGAAACATGTTTTAGTATATACATGTTAGTTGAGTTGAGTTGAGTTGGGTTTTGCGTCACATCGGCATTATTCCAGCCACATAGTGACGAGAACAAGTTTGCATTAATAAACATTGTAAGTACATACTCGGAATGAGTTTTATTTCAAAAACATATCAAATTTAAAGGCAGGCAATTTGTTAGTCACATTTCACAGTTACAATTTATGATAGTTACATTTCACAGTTACAATTTATGGTACAGATCAACTTCCCTCAGGTAGTTACATGTTTATACAAAAGTCGTTATATCAAACATGTAATCCAATACGTAGGACTCATTTCATTATTCATTATTCATTACCTGGATGGGTTATCTCCCATTTAACAGACACCCAATTGACAGACACTGAACTAGAAGGTTAATTAGGGTAACACCTACGGGTATAATGGAACAGTCCACTGTCTAGCGAGTAGAGCAGGGTGAGCCTGAAACAGGTTCGTTATTGAGAAGTTTGATTGTGGGTAAATAGAACTTTGTTGTGATTAAATGATAAATGATTTAATATAGAAATACAGGTTTGTCACCGAGAGGTTTGATTGTGTTTATTGATAGAAAACCCCCCTCCCAATAATAGCATATGTACAACAGAAGTTAACTGAGAAAACGTTTTGTTGGAGAGATACAGATATGTACATATTTGAAAACATTCTGATTTGCAGTAAATGAGACACCTACATTGTCATGTAAGATACGATTAATACCAATCAGTGTTCTAATTTTAACAATACTTTCTAAAGATTGTAACAGTTTATGTCTTTGAGTAGTATACAACGGACATTCAAGGAAGTAATGAAAATTATTCTCACACCCATGGCCACATTGACATGATGCGTCATATTTTAAACAAGAAGACAAAGTCATCAATATCCCCCGCAATGGCAAAATACTGTTCATGATTATGTCTACGAGTTATGATTATTCAAATATTTAGGTGTGTATATAGAACAGTGGAAGGAGAGTATTGAAAGGTTTTTACAGTTCTGCTCCAGAAAGGAGCATTATCACCAATTTCAGGCTATGTCAAACTTGTTGCCATGGAAATGCCAAAAATATTTTATTCAGAAATCCAAAACTACCAAAAGGAACCAGTACACCACCAGACCAATCTATGTGTCAAGTTTGGTGAAGAAATAGTAAACGGTTTTAGAGTTCAGCTCCGGAAAAGAGCACTACCACCAATTTCAGGCTAAGTCAAACTTGTTGCCACGGAAAAGCCAAAAATACTTTATTGATAAATCCAAAACTACCAAAAGACACCAGTACACCACCAGACCAATCTATGTGCAAAGTTTGGTAAAGAAATAGTGAACGGTTTTAGAGTTCAGCTCCGGAAAAGAGCACAACCACCAATTTCAGTCTAAGTCGAACTTGTTGCCATGGAAATGCCAAAAATATTTTATTCAGAATTCCAAAACTACCAAAAGGCACCAGTACACCACCAGATCTATCTATGTGCCCAGTTTGGTGAAGAAATATTGAACGGTTTTAGAGTTCTGCTCCGGAAAAGAAAAATGTGCAAGGACGGACGGACGCACGCACGCACGGATGGAGTCCATTTTAATACCCCCCCAAAACGCGTTGCGGGGGATAATTATTCTAAATAAATCGTAATTAAGTGCACTCGTCATATATCTTAATATTGTGTGCAAAACATAACTGCTATATTCCATATGAATAATATTTAGGTTCACATGTGTCTTTATTTGATTTATATGATACAACAGTGTCGCAATTTCTTATAGCTAAGCTAATGTTTTCAAAATGATGATGCCGACTCCCGTTAGACTAGAAGGTTAAACCAAAATGTTTATGAAAATAAACTGTTTTTATATTGCCGCAATAAAAATTCAAATTACTGTCTTTTCGTCCATCTTTCAAAATAATATAGCTTCAGTTTGTTCCTGTGTTTTTATTTGGACTATTCTATTATAATGTGTAGGTAACAGGTAGTAGATAATCTGTTCACTGAACCGTGAATGTGGTTGTTTTAAGGTGTCTGCGAACTGGCTGTCTGCGTAATGGGAGGACACGCCTGGATGGTGTAGGAAAATCCCCGGTTGTCAACTAAAAGTTGTTTGCCACGCTTGCTGCCGGTCGGGAGAATAGTCCACTCGGCCTGAGGCTGATGGTCGTCGGGCAGGGGTTGGGGGTCCGGGTCAGCGATAGAACTAAAATAATGAAATAATAGTTGACTTGAGTTGAGTTGGGTTTTGCGTCACATCGGCATTATTCCAGCCATATAGTGACGAGAACAGGTTTGCATTAATAAACATTGTAAGTACATCATCGGAATGAATTTTATTTCAAAACCATATATTCATTACATTGTCATTTAAAAGCAGAAAAAGTCATAGCATCAAATTTAAAGGCAGGCAGTTTGTTAGTCACATTTCACAGTTACAATTTATGATACAGATCAACTTGCCTCAGGTAGTTCACTATCAGATGAGCACTCACGCGGGAGAACAGATCTTTCAGATTTGTTGCATCAAAATGTGAGTGCCAAAACAAGTAAATTAAAGTTCATAATACCAATCTCTATACAAAAACACATTTAATACAGACATGGAACTCAAATTCATAAAATCGTTGCCTCAGTGAAGTTTGAAAAGAACTAGTTTTCCTTGACAAAAGGCAATTTTCCCTGACTGTTTTCCAAAACTTCAATTTTCACTGACTTTTGTAACAAAATTCCCTGATCTTGAAAAAATAATTTCTTCCCTGACTTTTCCCTGACCTGTGGCAACCCTGCTACATAAACAGATCCTATAATATATTTAGAATATTATCATTGTATATTTGCAAACACACATTTGTTGATGTAGGTAAACTATTGTTTACTTACTTTTGACATCACGACTGGATGGCCTTTCCATCTTGGACGGATAAATGCACATATGAGACGATGTCTCGGGATACGGTGATTTCGTAGACTGAACCAGTTCGTAGACGCGGTGGATTCGTAACCCAGACTGGTTCGTAGACGGTGATTTCGTAGACGTGTATTAATAATTGAATAAAAGTATATATTAAGTTTTATTTTTACTTAGATTGTGTATAACGAAGTTGTTATGCTTTGTTTTCAGTGGAAGGGCAGCTAAGGACAAGAAAGTGTGATTGAAGAGTGAACGAATATTTTCCCGTATCTTGTCTAGACTTGTTTACATGTATTTGTATTTGTATATGTAGAGTTTGTGTTGTATTTTTTGTTTTCAGTGATACGAAAATATTGTTACTGTTACTTGTTAAATGTAAGTGTTTTCTTAAGAAGTGTTTTCTGCTACTGGTCTGGTCTACGAATTCACCTACAGCCGATGTCTCGTACCCAACCACACACAAATCTGTCATATGCTTCCAGACTCCTATAGTTTCTCATGTCGGATAAACTATAAAAAGGACTAGGGCTGAACACCAGATAGTTCACGATGTCGACATAGTTTGTTGCCGGCAAATACGTATGGTCGTCACTCCATTCCGATCTGGGAATCCTGTACGGATCTTCGTTGTCCATCACAATAGTCTTCTCGAGATATCGCATGCGAGATGCTTTATCCAGTTTAAGTTTGCTTCTAAGATGCCTAGCGGTTAGAACAATCGAAAAAAAATACATTATCAGACATTCTACCATGGATACGTGAAATGCTCGAATTTGATTGGTCAATCAATAAAATCAGACGGTGTCAATTTGGATTGAAAATGCGTCTGATTTCACGGCGCTTCACTGCGCACGTATACAACACTGCCGCACTACTTCAGCTTGGCCACCAACATGACTAATATCAACACAACAGATCGACGTGATGGAAATGCTGATGAAACATTTATTAAAACTCGAAAAATACAATTATACGATTTCTCCTCCACAATTATTAGGGAACCTCACTATCATAATTATTACCTTCTATTATAAAAATATTCAAACTCAATATTAGTATACACAGCCCCAAACATAAACAAACAATACCTAACATGTAAATCAGAAAACCTTGTAAACAATTAAAAATACATCCCTATCTATCCCTATTTGTGCGGCAAAACTTTCGTAAACATTTACCTACCTGGTAAATGGTATATTTGTTTCCGTTTAGAATGAGGAATTCGCAACATAACGGTCAGGCGAAACACAAAATTTAGGCCACTCATACTCCATCATGTCCCGTTGCATCGTTCAAATTGTCAAAAATTGAACCACGAGAATTCGCTCTATTCCACCCTCCCCCGCAAGGCTGTCACTGCTATGTTCATACACTTGAAAAGCTTGGCCACAATCCAGTCCAAAATGATGAGAACAATGTTCCAAGGAATCCCAAGTTAGTCGCATGTACACAAAGCAGTACTGTCACTCTTTTGTCGCATGCCGAGGTGGAGGCAGGTACGTGAAATTATGATCGACACTCGCCGGTCATAAAAATCAACAGTCTTTGATGAGTTACAGGTCATAGGTCGATCAGAAAAGGATGTATTCTTCGATTCTGCAGGGTTCAGGTTCGACAGTCAGTCAAGTATTTTCCACTGTCACTTCGGATTTCAACCTTTCGCAAAATGTAAACACTGGCTCGTCCGCCATTTCAAACTGTTGCGTAACTGTCTACTTCCAAGAAAATAAGTAGGTCAGACGATTCCATTATAGTGTGGCCAGGGGGATACAATAACACAGCACACAAAACAATAGGCTGGTTTCGGTCGTGTGGAGTTATGATTATAAAAAAAAAGCTCTTAGGTGTTACATTATTGTATTGAATAAACAGTAGTTTGTTTTCTTTGGACAGAATAGTATTTATGTTGCAATGTTAACAAAAATACGAACGGCACCTACCACTCCCTTCACAGACGAGTTCAATTCGCCTTCTCGTCCCATGCCGGATTACGCCGTGTCTTCCGCAGGACGAGGAAGTTCGATGTTAAATCGGTTATGGTAGAATGGAGATAAACATACTGTGTTTTGAAATTAGATGAATGTTAGACCGAATTGATAGTCTCTAAATTAATCATTTGAAACCTCACGCTACGCGTTCGGCTTCAAATGAAATTTAGAGACTATCAATTCGGTCTAACATTCATCTAATTTCAAAACACAGTACGTTTATCTCCTAAATAAAGGTTTAGTTTTTTGATGACGTAACAATTGAATGACGTTATCCCGTTACTGCGCCTATCTAGTGTGCCCCCTCGTAATCGAACCATTTTACTTTACGTCACAATGAAAGCGACGTCACGATGCATGTCAGTTGTCATCGCCTCGTACGGCCTCCTACAGTAAACAACACCGTTGCATCACGTTTCTTGGTTTGCTGTTGGTTCCCCCAGCTAATATCACTGGTGGAAACATTACGTTTATGTTTTACGACGGTTAAAATGTCTCAGTTCGTCTCACAAGTTTTCAGCGACACGGTCACGTTCGCAATGTTTACATTCCCACAATGCAATCGTGGAATGTCGCTTGACTACTCAACTTCCTCTGGTTGTACTGATCTAAACTTACGTTGGTAGTAGAAATGCAACGTTCATATTGCCCCATATGGTTTATGTTAATAACAGATGTATTTAAAATAATTCAGAGAAGATATTTAATCCGAAAGTAAACCGTCATCAAACTGTTATCATTTGTTTTTTTCTGGTAACGTTCGTCTTAACGTAGGGGGCAGACACATCAATAGAACAGCGCGCCAGTTAGCCCTGTGCGAGGATTCTTAATTTAGGTCACAGACACCGTCCTTTGTTTTCTGCCTTAAATTAATCGTAATTATCCTTAGAAAGTATTAAATTTGGCATCTTAGAAAAGAAATACAGTTCGCCCTACCACCATGTATAGTGTAATAAAACACACTTTCGCCCTGAACTATTAAAACGTTAACTATAATAGTTCAGGGCAAAAGTGTGTTTTATTACACTATACATGGTGGTAGAGCGAAGTGTATTTCTTAAATAATTCTCCATAGTTGCTAGTGACGCTATGGTTGCTGGGGACGCGAATGACAACCAACATGGCGGCGCGCACGGAATCACGGGATAACTCTGAAACCCCTCTATTAGCTGTTTTGATTCGGTGCGGTTTGGTATAGTGCTATCACAGCTTGATCACATTTGCCAGCGACCGCTTCGAGCGCGTACGGAATGTGCATGTTTATTCCTATATATCCTGTTAACTTGGATTTGTTGTGAATTTTTTAGTATTTATTCGTTTATTCAGTATATGCTGACACAGTTGTGCATTAGAGCACTTTCTTATACGTCTGTGATTCAAGAGAGGATAAACAGATGCCAAAAGTGACTAACGTTCCTGAGACAAGCTGATTGCAAGATGATCCAACCTGAACAGTGGCGAAATGGCGAAATCAGATTATTTCCGAACATTAGGTAAGGCTTAGCTTCAATGTCATTAAAAGAGTACGTTTCCCTTAACCTCAGTCGCACATTTCCCGTAATCCCCGCTTGAAATGTATTGTATTTATTATGATTATTTCTAGGGATTAGGGTTTTGGTTATTGGTCTAGATGTTCAGGCTAAAGCCTCACCACAGTAAAACGGCACATGGCGAAAACAGCATAGTGTAAAGTATGGAATGGAATTTGGAATGGAATTTGGAATGGAACAGTGGAATGGAATTTGGAGTGACACAAATTTGCTATGTATAAACAAGTCTCCGCTCTAATATGCTAAGACAGTTTATAAACAGCTGATCACTGATACATAGCACTAAGTAAAGGGACGTGGGCGTCAGCTTCTCTCTCCAGCCATGACCCATCCACCACACACTCAAAGGAACATGATTCTGGGGGAATAAGTTTTGAGTTCAAATACTATTTTCTAGGTTATGTAGATAATAAGAGCAAGATGTATCGAAGAAAGGCCGATGGCATGTGCTGTCTACGTGTCTAGACTTGCTTATTATGGGGACAGAATTACTAATATATATCTCTGCAATTATTATTCTGTACATCTTTGAAGCAAGGCTAACGGCATGCCTGTATGGCGGCAGGCACCTGTGTTGTGGCAGGATTAGACATATATGGAGGAGGAAACGGATTATTCAACACAATAGTCTCATGATATTTTTATGAAGCACAACAAAATACCATGTGAAGGAAAATAACATATATATATTAGAACTAATTTTGACATTATGATTAATCTTGTTTATTATCATAAAAAGTAATCTATAATGTCTATATTATCACAAATGTTACATAGTCTCAGTAACTGTCACTTAAAATCACAATTACTTGATTATATACAAAATAAGAACAAGTTTTTCACTCAACTATTGTGTCCATAGACAGAGATGCAGATGACTATATTTACCAAGGTACTACTATATCGACTTACACAGCTAGTAGATAATATTCCAGTCATCTCATTAAATCCAAATTATTAGCAGTGGTAAATGGGAAATAAAATGATTAAGGGACTGTGAGACAGGCTATTGCCACACCTCTGTCTGCCACTAGCCTTATCTTACATCCGGAGGGGGGAGGGGTGCAAGAAATTGGGAGCAGGAGGGAAAGCAACGCTGGAAATGTTTACAAACTGTCAATTTAATTTATGTTTGAAGGTAGGCACAACACTTAGTTTGGTTAGTACAAGACGAGTATATTCCATTTATTCCCATTCCAAATTCCATTCCATCATTCCAATCCAAACTCCATTCCAAAATACATTCCATATTTTACACTATGCCGGCGAAAACGGCACCATTTGGTCATAACGGAGCCTCGACTTGGCGAAAACGGCTACAAATCTTATGACGAAAACGGAACCAAATAAAATATTATGGGGAATACAACCACAGTAATTGAGTAAATTGTTAATTGGCCTTTAACTGAGTAGTGTATTAATCGGCCTGTAATTGTTATATATTCTGCAGGTGGCAGGGGGGAGTCCTGCAGGTGTATGAAAAATGAGAAATCATGTGTGTTGGTCAACAATGGCTGTAGCCCCTTCCTTGATTGCCTCTATGGTGTACGACAAGTGATCTTATGATATCACAGGGTAGAAAATTAGGCATACCTAAAAGTGAAAGACTGTCCATTTTGTATCATCCCAATTGTAGAAACAGAATACCATGTCTGTCTAGTGTGTCCATTTTATAATAGCCTTAAAAGAAATTTCCTGCCAAGTTACAGGTGATGACAAAAGTATTCGCGACTTTTCAAAATGGCAGAAGTAAACACAAGACCGTATGAAAACTTTAAACAGCGATATTTCGAAAAACAATTATGTCATACCTCAGTACTTGGTCAAGTTCCCCTTGGAGCGTATGCAGGCCATAATCCGTCGTGGAATGTGATTCATATAAGTTTCTAACATAGTGTACAGTGATATTTGTCCAGACATAGTGGATGGCATCATACAGGTCGTCAGTGGTCAGGATAGTTTGTGATCGTTGCTGTAGTTTTCCTTTGATGTGTAGCCATACATTTTCAATAATATTGAGATCGGGAGACTGTGCAGGCCAAGTCATGCAATTTACAGCATTGTCACGGTTGTATTCCTGAAATATTTGTGCCGAGGCACTGGGGCATTGTCATCTTGAAACCGATATGGTTTATTGTTGAAGTGCGGAGCTATAACGGGCCAGAGGTTGTCTCAAGTATTTCACGATAACATTGACTAATATATATGGTCCTAATCAAGATCAACCTGATTTTTATAATGCATTATTTCATAAAATTGATGAATTTGAAAATGAATCTCTCATAATATGCGGAGACTGGAACTTAGTTCTTAATCCTCCCATAGACTTAGAAAATTATAAAAATATCAATAATCCAAAAGCAAGAAAAGTAGTGTTAGATAATATAGAAAATATGATTTGACAGACATTTGGAGGGAGAGAAATTATGATGTAAAGAAATACACATGGTGGAAAAAAAAACCTAAACAACAGTCCAGACTTGATTTCTTTTTAGTTTCTCAAGATTTAGCAAACATGACAACTGACTGTTCAGTACTTCCAGGATATACATCTGATCATTCAGCAATTACCATGTCTTTTTCTAATAAACTTAATAAGGAACGGGGTGGAGGATACTGGAAACTAAATACGTCATTACTTTATAACCAAGAATATGTAAACACAGTCAAGGATATGCTTTTGAAACAAAATTAGAATACTGTAACTGCACTGAGGATGAACTAGGTGATATTGAAGATTCTAAACTACAACTTAATATAAGTTTACACTTTGTTCTTAGAAACAGTTTTAATAAAAGTGAGGGGAAAACAATATCATTCTCTTCCTACTTAAAAAATCAAAACTGAAAAGCAAAAATTTAGAAGGAAAAATTTTGGCAATGGAAGAAGAAATCAGAGAAAATTCCAAACCATATCTGAAACTAAACTTTCTGAACTATCCAAATGTAAATTAGAGTTTGAAAAATTAAAAGAAGATGCAATAAGAGGTATACAGATAAGAAATAGAATTCAGTGGTACGAGGAAGGAGAAAAACCAACCAACTATTTCTGTCATCTCGAAAATAGAAATTATACCAGTAAGCTTATGAATAGTGTTATCAATGACTAAGGGGAAGTAATATCAGATGGTAAGGCTATATTAAATGAACAAAGACAATTTTATGAAAATCTATACTCATCAGGTGGTAAAATAACAGAAAAGTATAATTAATATATTTGATGATATTATTACACCCAAACTGCACACTGTACAGGCTGAAAATCTTGAGGGTGATATTACTATAGATGAAATAACACGAGCCGTTAAATCAATGAAAAATAACAAAAGCAGGAGTAGATGGTTTCCAAATAGAATTTTTTAAATTTTTCTGGAAAGATCTTCATATTTGGGTTTGTAGATATATATCAGAAGCATTCAGGCAAAATATGTTAAGTCCAACAATAAACAGAGGCGTCATCACATGTATTCCAAAAGCTAACAAATATAGACAGTTGTTAAAAAACTGGTGCCCAATTTCCCTACTGAATTCTTTGTATAAAATACTCTGCACATGTATAGCCAATAGAATTAAAACAACATTGAATACTCTTTTTCATGAAACTCAGACAGGTTTTATACCTGGAAGGTGTATTAGCGAGAACATTAGATTATTATACGACATTATGTTTGAAGCAAAAGTACAAGATAAAAAGGGACTCTTATTACTTATTGACTTTGAAAAAGCTTTTGACACTGTCTCTAAAGAATTTATAATTTTAACAATTGGAAAGTTTGGCTTTGGCCCCAATATGGAAAAATGGATCAAAATATTAATCAATAATGCTACATCATGTGTTATACAGAATGGTCATTTATCACAATTTTTTGACAATGAAAGGGGCTGTAGACAAGGGGACCCAGTCTCTCCCTATATATTCATCTTAGTGGCTGAAATTTTAGGAATAATGATCCGTAACAACACTGCAATGAAAGGAATTACATTGAATAACACTGAACATAAAATTGGACAGTATGCAGATGATACTGAATTATTTCTGATGGGCGTGAAGAAAGTTTAAGGGCAGCAACTGACACTCAATAATTTCTACAAAATGTCTGGTTTAAGAATAAATATAGATAAAACGAAAGCAGTATGGATAGGCTCAATGGCAGGTAATAGCATGATTTTATGCCAGTATCTTAAGCTTGATTGGCATAATGGGGATTTTGATATTCTAGGAAAAAAACTTAATCCTAATTTAAAGAATCTTTGGGTAATTAATACAAGAAAAAGACTAGAAATTATTAATAGAACTCTAGGGAATTGGAGGAAAAGAAAGTTGACATTAATAGGGAAAATAACTGTTATTAAAACTTTAGCACTTTCATCATTGGTGCATATATTCACTTCACTCCCAAATCCTCCAAAGGAATTCATTGACAAATTAAACAATATATTTTATAAATTCATCTGGAATGATAAGCGGGATAAGATAAAGCGAACGACACTTATTAGAAAATATGAAGAGGGGGGACTCAGAATGGTTAATGTACAGGTATTCATAAACTCTTTAAAACTGTCAGTTTTACATAAATATCTTCAAAATAATAGCAGTTCTAGCCCTAGTATCTTTCCATTTAAAGATCAGAGCTTCAGATAACTTTTTGGGTCATTGTACTCACCTCACTCAAACTCAATTGGGTATTTTGCCATTTTCCATTAATTTTAAAAATGTAATAAAGTTAAAATGTTAGTGTTTGTTATTTATGTTTCATCTGTAATATGAAAAATGATAAGAAAGACTGCAAGTTGTCACATTCATGTCCTGAAATAGAACCTCTCAATATACCTCAGTTATTTTATCTATCCACTGGTACCCAAGCTAAGATTTGACATTTTTGTGTGTACGCATGTAAGATCACATTTATTGAGTATTTACAAAAATTCAAGCGTACTTGTACG